CAAATAAATAAATAAAATCTTAAAAAAAAAAAAAAAAAAGAATGAGATCTTGCCATTTACAATGACATGGATGGAACTAGAAGGTATTATGCTAAGTGAAATAAGTCAGAGAAAGACAATTACCATATGATGTCACCGATACGTGGAATATAAGAAACAAAACAGAGGACCATTAGGGAAGAGAGGAAAAAATGAAAAAAGACCAAACCAGAGAAGGAGACAAATCATAAGAGACTCTTAATCATAGGAAACAAACTGAGGGTTGCTGGAGGGGAGGGAGATGGGAGGAATGGGATAAGTGGGTGATGGACAGTAGGGAGGGCATGTGATGTAATGAGCCCTGGGTGTTATATAAGACTGGTAAGGGCATCTGGGGGGCTCAGTTGGTTAAGCATCAGTCTTTGGCTCAGGTCGTGATCACAGGGTCTGGGGAGCCCGCTTCTCCCTCTCCCTCTACTGCTGCCCCTGCTGTGTCAAATAAACAGATAAGATCTTTAAAAAAAAGGGGGGGGGACTGATGAATCACACTCTGAAACCAATAATGCATTATATGTTAATTAATTGAATTTAAATGAAAAAATGTTTGAAAATGGGGCATCTGGGTGGCTCAGTGGGTTAAAGTCTCTGTCTTCAGCTCGGGTCAAGATCCCAGGGAGCCATGATCCCAGGGAGCCTGCTTCCTCCTCTCTCTCTGCCTGCCTCTCTGCCTACTTGGGATCTCTGTCAAATAAAAAAATAAAATGAAAATGCTTAAAAATAATTAAAAATTTAAAAAAAGAACATACCCATGCCACATACCTGGGGCACCCACACAACTTACAGATCCACCCTCGTCAGCGCCATTGGCCAATGCCAAGAATGAGGAGTCTGGAGGAAGGAACACCTGGTTACCAGGCCTGCTTTCACTCCTATTAGCTAAGTGTCCTTAGGCAAGTTACTTAACGCACGTCAGTTTTCTCATCTGGAAAATGGGTGGTCATGAGGGATAATGCAGAGTGGGTATGGGACTCCATTGAGATCATGAACACGAAGCATTTGCAATGTATAAAGTACAACACGAGTATTTCCTAGGATGTACACTCACTCGTTTGACATATACTAACTTACCACCCCCTGCCACAAACTCTTTAAAGCTCACAGACTTCTCTCAAGTGCTCTGAAGACCCACCACAGACCACAGGGCCAGGATCCCCGGCCGGACCCATTCACGCACTGCATACTGTATAAATATAGGTTTTATTAATAATGGGCAAAGTCCCACAAATACAAGTGGCATCTCTGGGTGGTGGGGAGAATCTGTGGCAGGGTAAGAGAAGGGAGAGTGGTGTGTGCACAAGAAAAAGCAGTGGGAGAGCCCTGGGGGAAGGGGAGATCAGAAGTGGTGCAAGTCTGGACCTACCACAAAAGCCAGACATGCTCTGTGTCTGTCGCTCTGGTGCCCTGGGGGGCCGATGGGAAGGTAGGGAGGGTGTGCACAGACCCAGGCAGGTGCTCGAATGACCAGCAGGCGGTTGGGGAAGGGGCGGGGCAGTGAGAATGCCAGCCTGATGCACAAAAGAAGGGCCACAGGGTGGCAGTGGCCAAGGCCAAATTTTGCCCATGCTTGTGCTTGTGTTGGCTGCTGAGCTCCAGGGAGCTAGTGCCCTGTGCCATCCCTGACTTGGAGGGGAAAGAAGACTCGGGGGGTAGACACCCCGGGTCCCAGGACACCCTGGGCGGCACAAGCCTCATCCGTGCAGTCAATGCTGCATCCCCAGAGGAGGTGGGTACTGCCCTTCCTATGGCACCCACCGCCGCCGCCACCACCATGCCACCATCACTCCTCCTCGGAGCCATACGGGACAGCGTGTGTGTGTGTGTGTCGGGCTGAGATTGCCTGTTCGCATGTATGTGCCTGTAACTCTGGGGAGGGGAGGGAGTGTCGCAGGACTGGGCAGGAGAAGCAAGAAGGAGGCTTGGTCTTCTCCTGCTCACGCCCCAGAATAAAGTGCATTCTCCGGTTCCAGTGGCAGGTGGGAGAGAAACACAGACATTATTGCAGCAGTGCCACCAGACCCTACCCCCGACCAAAGGGGACAGGGAAGGGGACAGGGCATCCCAGGCTCCCAGGCCTCTCCAATACCCAGGATTGGGAGGAACGACCCAGACAGAAAAACCAGCTTCTGTTCCAGCAGATTGCCCAAATCAGCCAGGTCTGGGGGTGGGGAGAAGGTGAGGAGGAGGAAGAGACTTCCAGAGCCTTCCCTGCTCCATTCCAATGTCCAAATGGGACTTCCAGGGGACCCCACCAGGGCCCAGCCCTGGAACCCGAACCTTAGATCAGCCCAGTTTACAAACACTTGTGTGGTGGGAAGCCCCAGAGGGGGCCACTTTGGTCAGTTGTAAATGGGGGCCTGGAGAACCTGGGGCTCCCAAGCAGACAGCAGAGACAGGGGACGAGGTGGGGGAAGGAGGGTGGCAGCCTCCTAGTGGTCTTTGCATGCAGATGTTGGAGAGAGTAGGGAGGAAGCTATAAACTGCATCAACTGGGAAGACTCCTGGACATGGTGGGGAGGGCTGGAGCCCCCCGTGGCCACGACCATGGCCACGGCTAGGAGCGCAGTCCAGCAGCCAACCCGGGGAGGAGCTGAGAGAGGAGAACGTGGCTGCACCAGCAACCCGTGCCAAAGTCTACAAGGTTAAAACAGTCCCAGAGGGCTGGGGCTGGGGGCTTCCGCTGCGGGGGCTGGGGCGCAGGCCGGCGCAAGGCTCTATCTCTCCGACTTGACCCGGTAACGGAGCACAAGGTATGCCAGCAACCGCAAGGCCAGAAAGAAGATGCCCAAGACCAGGAAGTCCAGGTAGAGCTTGGCATCCTCCACATCCAGCGCTCGGAGTATACTCTGCGGGTTCTGGAAAGGGCAGTGTTCCTCCAAGCAGGTCAGATCGCCTCGATCCATGCCATAGATGGTCAGAATCACACCCTCAAAGCCATACCTGTGCACGCGGGGACATCAGAGCTGGATACAGAGCATAGGGTCCCTGTTCCCTGGGCAGACTGCCGGGGCCCAGCAGCCACTCTGTCCTCCCTGGAGCCTGGGCTCCTGCAGGGAGGAGCAGGGATGGATGGTGCGGGCCGCGGCACTGACCTGACATAGGAGAGGTAGGAGCTCCACTGCAGGTAAGTAGGGATGGTCTTGAAGCTGACAAAGAAACCGGAGAACAAGAGGACAGGGATGGCGGTAACTGGGCCCACAAAGGTGGCCACCTGGAGGGGAAGGAAGGGGACCGGGCCATTACAGGAGTGACCGGGACAGGGGTGGCCCTGCGGTTTCCCAGAGATCCCTTCCACTCCTGGTGTCAGCCTCTGCTTCCTCCCACCAGACCCCATCCCCTCCCCAGATCCCCAAGGGCCAGCCCTCCCACCTGGAGGGAATTGGAGGCAGCTCCAATCAGCAGCCCCAAAGACTGGGCCACCAAGGCGGTGGCTGCGGCCAGGGCGGAGAACAGCAGGAAGCGGCTGGTTTCGGCCGGCTGGCCTGTCATCCAGTAGATGATGCTACAATATACCACCGGGCACACCACCTGGGGAGTGGGCATGGGCCTGAGCAGGGGCGCCAGCCCCAGGGCCACAGATGCCAAGACCCTCCACGCCACCTGGGCGGGAACCCCTGGAGCACTAGCTCTTCCTAGAGTGTCCACACTTGGTCCCGCCGCCCCCACGCTTGGTGTGTGCTGGCCCCCTGGGCTGGTGCCTCTCCCCTTGTTTCCTCCAGTGACACCATTTCCACTGGACCCCTTCTGACCAGTTCAGGCATGGTGACATCTCCATATCTGAGCTCCTAAACTGGACCAGCTGGTTCTTTATACTGCTAATTCATTAACTCTGCATGTGAGCACGTGTCATCCCCTCTGAGCGGTCAAGTCCAGGGGGCCAGCGACCAAGCCTAGCACGGACCATCACGCAGGCTGTTCCCTGCACTAGGCGCCCAATCAAGAGGCCACCAGACACCAAGGTCCTCCCGTGCTCTTCTACGAGGCCATGCACCGCAGCATGGTGCGGCACCCGCCCAGCTTTTTCTCATTTGCACACAGCTGCCCTACAGATTACTGGTGGTCTCAGAGCCTGTATGGGGTAGGGGGAAGGGGAGGCTAGTGCAACAAACCAACCCAAACCAACTAACGCTTATCGGGCACTTTTGCACGTCCCAAGCATTAGCCAAAGTCCTTCACGTGTATCAACTCATTGACTTTTCCCAAACAATCCTGAGCTGGATACTCTCATCCTTCCTCTTGATAGATGGGGATGCGGAAGCAGTGAGAGGCAGGCAGCTGCTCTGTGTCTTGCGGCTAACAAGTGGTGGTAAGGCTTCAGCACCCGCACTAGCTGCCCTCCACTGCTGCGGATAAGATCCACAGACCCAGGGGCGCCTGGGTGGCTCAGTGGTTTAAGCCGCTGCCTTCGGCTCAGGTCATGATCTCAGGGTCCTCGGATCGAGTCCCGCATCGGGCTCTCTGCTCGGTGGAGAACCTGCTTCCTCCTCTCTCTCTCTCTCTCTCTCT